TATAGCTGCATTATTTGTCTGATTCTGATTTGTAAAAATAGAGTATATGTACATAATGTTTGTTTGTGTGTTTATGTTTACTGAAAATTTTCCTTCAAGGTTAGTTTTTATAAGGTAAAAAAGTACATTTAATACGCACTGTTTATATAAACTTTGTCTTTATATAAACTGTCTAAAACAATTCTACTTGTAGACAACTATCAGTTCGGCAGGGTGGGATGCTACTCGATTTTTGAAAATTTTTTTAAAGATTATATTTAAATCTCTGCAATATTGCTCATTTTTTTAACTTGATATAAAAAAATGCTGTTGTTTGAAAAAACACGAAGAGTATTAAAAAAAACAACCTGAAAACTAATTTTCATAAACTTTTTCATAATAACTTTTCATGACATTGTTATAAAAAGTTCTAAACTTTGATTTCTTTTTGATAAATTTTTAATGCTTCCAAAAAGGCTGCAAGCAACCACTAATTAGTGTTGGAAGTTACTAAAAGAGAAAAAATAAAGATTGTAGAGCAAGATAATAATTGACAGATGACTTAAAAGATTGCAAGTTATATGAATCAGGAAAGCAAGATAAGGAAAAAAACTAGATGAATAAGAGTTTTTAGAGCACTTAAGAACAGTATCAGAAAAAGGATGAAATTTAATTAAATGATGTGTAAAATGAGAATGAATTTTAGTAGATGGCACAAGAGACACTAGCTCTTTAGAGCAGTGTCTCTTGTGCCCCAGAGAAAAAAATTTGAGTTTTATTGGAATTAAAGTTCACCAGCCACTGTGAGCCCCATGCTGTAGCAGAAGTGAGATCCTTTTCAAGTTCAAATGCCCCCTCCAAGCAATCAGAGAGAGTTGACTTGTTATCATGATAAGAATAAATGGTGGTATCATCAGTGAACAATGTCACCTTAGATGTGAGAATATCTGGAAGATTGTTAATGTAAATTAAAAAAAGAGTATAGGGCCAAGGATTGTACCTTTAGGAACCCCTTAGGTTACAGAATAAGGATTGAACCTTGAGGAACCCCTGAGGTTACAGAATAAGGATTGAACCTTGAGAAACCCCTGAGGTTACAGAATGATAAGAGTGCTGTCCATCAAGGACACTTTTTATACTACGATTGAAAAGGAAGGATTCAATAATCTTAAAGGTGTTACCAGATAGACTGTAAAAAAAAAGCTTATGAAGAAGACCAGCATGCCAAACTTTATCAAACGCTTTAGAAATGCCAAGAGCAATGGCCTTAACCTCTCCACCCTTATCTAAAGCATGATAAAACATATCGGTTATTACTGCCAGCAAATCAGCAGTAGAACAAGAAATCCATATTGATGATCAGATAGTAAGTCATTAGATTCAAGATGAGCAATTAAGTGTTTGTTAATTGAAGATTCAAAAACCTTGCTTATGATAGGAAGAAGACGGATGGGACGGTAGTTAGATGAATCAGATTGCTCTTCAGAATTTTTAAAAATAGGGATAAAAGATGCTGCTTTCCAGCAGGCTGGAAAACAAGACTCTGATAAGCACATTTTGAATAGTTTTGAAAGGATAGACGACGGAGAACACTTCTGCAAAACTATAACAGGTATGTTGTCCGGGCCACAAGCTGTAGAAGAGTTTAAGCAGGAAATCACTTTAGATACAGAAACTGGAGTGATACGGATGTCAAGCAATGGATCAACCTGTTTGACGGCTATATCAGGTAGAACGCAACTAGTAGAATCAAGAGATGATTTTGATGAAAAGTTCTTAGCAAACAATTCAGCTTTGTCTTTAGGTGAGGTGACAAAGTCTGAACCATACAAAAGAGGTGGATTTACAGACTTGCCTTTATTATTGATACTATTAAAGATTCTCCAGAAGTCACGAGAGCCTAACGTTTGTGATAAAATACAAGATTTCATGACCTGAGAATAGCGGGCTTCGGCATTAAACAAAACCTTTTTACAATGGTTCTTAGCAGTAACAAACAGATGTCTATTTTCTGGAAAATTGTTTTGCGGATAGATATGGAAGTAATGGTTTTGATTGGCAATTGTAGCAGCACAATGTGAGGAATATCATGGAGAAGAGTGAGGCTTGACCTGGAATTGTCGAGAGGGAATAAAGGATTCCATGCCAGCTTGTATCCACGAAGTTATGTAAGAAGCACATTTGTCAACAGGAAGATGAAAGATTTGTGTGGCCCAAGGACCACAAAAAGAAAATCACAGAAAGAGTCCCAGTCAGCTTCAAGGTAGTTGTAAAATGTACAATGATAGGGGGATTCTGATGATAAAGAAGAATGAGATAATAGTTTTAAAGAGATCAAACTGTGATCAGAGGCACCTAAGAGTGAATGTGAAGAAACTAAGCACTGACTAGGATCAGAAACAAGGCATAAGTCGAATAGAGAAGGTAAATGATTCAGGTTGTCTGGCAAGCGAGTTGGAAAGTTGAATAATTGATTTAGGGATTGAGAAAGGCAATTATTAATTTTTGAGAAAGGCAATTATTAATTTAAAAGTTAAATACTATTATAAAGTTTTTCTTTTTGTTCTTATTTTAATTTTTTTTTATTTTATTATTAATTTTGTCAATATCACTGGGTAACAAAATAAAACTTTTTTAGATTCAATCAACAGCATTAGGTTTTTCTAGATCAGATTTTTGAGCTGATTAAGAAATTGGAATCCATTTTAATTCTACACATTCAGACTTTTCTGAAATTTTAAATGTTTTACTTTTCATCTTTAATAAGTTTGAAGTTATAGTTTTTGCATACTTTTAATTTCAAACATTCTTTTTTTAAATAGTGTAAATGTAGGTTTATATTTCTATTCAATTTACAGTAAAAATTAAAGTAAAAAAATAGATACCATTTGTATTTTATTGCAGGATGTCTTAAATCTGCAGACGATATTGTATAAATAGTTAAAACACTTTCTGTTACACTTGTGATCATTATGTCACTAAAAGACAGAAGAGAAAAATGAAATCAAAATGCTTACGACTTCTATTTTGGATATATGGTGGGAAATCATGACAAAAAATGGGCGCCTCTGTATAATTGCACCAACTGCTACGTGTTTTTCTAAACAGATGGATGAAAAAAGACCAACTGTCATGCCATTTGCCATTCCTATGATATGGAAGGAGCCACGAGATCATACAACCAACTGCTACTTTTGTTCAACAAAAATTGAGGGACATTCTCTAAAGACAAAAGATAAAATAACGTATCCAATTTGTGAATCAGCAAAGTTGCGAGTACCTCACAGTGACAGTCTGTCTATTCCAACTCCACTAAGTGTATTAAACCTCTTGCCCTCTCCAGATCAGACAAATCAAACTAAGAAAATGATGATGATGGCTTTATGCCTGAAACGGAATCAGCTCCACATTTTATTAACCAGCAAGAGTTGAGCAATCTAATCAGAGACTTACATCTATCAAAATCAAATGCTGAGATTCTGGGTTCTCGACTACAAGAGTGACATTTGTTAACACTTGACACCAGAGTGACCATTTACTAAAACAGAGATAAAAGATACTCAAAATATTTCATCAAACAAAATAGTATCACTTTTTGTACAAATATTGAAGGATTATTAACTGACCTTCGATGTGTCTATTCCTCTAATCAATGGCGTCACTTTTATCGACTCATAAAAGTACTCTCTAAAGGCAGTATTAATTCATATTGGAATATCCTTCCATTCCCATAGCTCATGCAGTGGGACTCCAGGAAACTTACGGCATGATGAAAACTGTACTTGATTGTGTTAACTATGCCAATCACAAGTGGATTATTTGTAGTGACCTTAAAGTAATTGCCCTGTTGCTTGGACCGCAATTGGGTTTCACTAAGTATATGTGTTTCCTCTGCCTGTGGGATAGCAGAGACACTAAAAATCATTATGTGAAGAAGAAATGGCCCAAACATACAGAATATATAGCCTAGGATACCACAACGTTAAACACATTCCACTTGTTGAATGGCTGAAAATTGCGCTTCCTCCTTTGCATATCAAATTGGGTTTGGTAAAATGTTTCATAAAAGTAATGAATATAAATGGTGCTGGCTTTAAGTCCAAATAAAGTTCTCTTGAATCATTTCTGAGGCAAAGATCAAAGGTGTGTTTGATGGGCCTCAAATAAAAGAGCTCCTGAAAGATAGGAATTTTGAGGAAACTTTTACACCAGCTGAATGCAATGCATTGCGTATATATATATAATATATATACGCAATGCATTGCGTATAATATATATATATATATATATATATATATATATATATATATATATATATATATATATATATATATATATATATATATATATACATATATATATATTTATATACTATTTGCAAAATATTTTATGTAAAATATAATAATAATATAAATATGATTAGTAGTAAGTAAATACTAACTAGCTTGTTTACATTTTTTCCTCTTGATTTATATATATATATATATATATATATATATATATATATATATATATATATATATATATATATATATATATATATATATATATAGATATATATATATAGATATATACATATGATCAAGTTGAAAAGATCAAGTTGTAGTAATACATTCGTTTACATGTCAGGGAGCTAAAAGCTAATCAACATGAAGTGTCTATTAATTTTTTGTTCCTTGGCATGTAATTTTGGGAATGGATGTTGTGATCATTAACTTCTTCGAAACGATTACAGCCGTGTTTAAATAAGATTCGGTTTTACTATTAGACAACAATGCCATACTAAATTATGGTGAATATTATGTAATTATGATGCCTTTATGTCATTTTTACAATTTTGCTAATTTTTCTTATTTGATTGCTTTTCCATGATAATTTTTATTTAGTTTAAAGGTAAGAAATATTGAATATAAATTACTTACAATGTTATGTTTTTAAAGTTGTTAATATACTTCTAAAAAGTATTATCTTAGCTTTGAGATTATACCGAGTCATTTTTATTTGTTGTATTTTTGACTTAGCTGCACCCGGCAGAAAGAACTAATTTCGATTCATCCGGAAGTTTAGTTCATACATCCGTAAATGTAAGATTTTTATTTTAATAGGTTTACATTATTTAATAAAACTAGCTTAATGAAAAGTGACTTTAAAAATAAAAGCTGAATATTTAACGCTAAAATATTTTTTACTATATAATATTTAGATTTATGGTTTTTAAATAGAATTAAGAGTTAACCTTGTAATCTAAGTTATAATTTATAATATAGGTATTTGCATTATTTCCGATTTGCAATATTCCAGATTCTATAAATGAAAATTTCTCGGTTGAAATTTGGTCTAAGTGCCTGAATTCTTGACAAATTCGTTTACCTTTTGTCGTATAGGCCTATTTGTTAACATCTTTTTAGAAACTAAATTGTAAAGATATTGCTAGGTTTTGGTCAATTAACCCTGTATTGAAATTTAATTGTAAAAATAGGTATAAAAACTTTTTTTGCTGTGCAACTCTATATAGTTGCCTTTTCCGTTGGTTAATCAAATATAAATTACTTAGTTTTAGCACTAGCAAATTACGTGTTGGTAAATGAGCTCCTTGTTTAGTATTAAAATATGCATTAACATATTAACAATAAATTTGCCAATATGGAGCCGCCATATTTGCTAGTTCGAAATTAGGCCTGAAGAGAACTAATTGTACTATTTCTACTTTTTAAAGGTAAAAACCAGAAGAGTTAGATTTTATTAGAGTTGACGATTTTTTTACTTGCTTAAGTAGGCCTACTAATGAGTTGTTAATTACTTATTGTAAGTAATTCAAAGCACTTATAAGTACTAAACTAAGTATATTTAGGGAAAGTAGATCAAGGAGCAATTGCAAAAAACAAAAGTTGCTGTTAACCTGAGTAAATTTGTATTATTTTACTTAAATTAAATAAATAATTAAATTTTGCTAACTTATAATTATAAATTCAAAAAAAAATTATAAATAGCTTAAAATGAATCATTATTTTAATCATTTTTATACTTGGACTTTATTGACACTCGGGCAATATTTTATGTTTAGCAAAACTGTTTTGTTAACAAAATAATTCTGTGGCGGTATTTACCGCCACTTTAGTAAAATATCAATTATTTGTGATGGTTTTGCTTGATTTGCATTTTACCGCCACTCTAGCAAATTTTAAAGCTTAGCCTGGCGGTATTTACCTACTTTAGCAAAACATCAACTTTAGGTGGCGGTATTTTGGTCATGAATCTTACTGCCACTCTAGCAAATTTTAAAGCTTAGCGTGGCTTATTATATATATATATATATATAATAATAATAATTATTATATATATATATATATAATAATTATTATATATATATATATATAATAATTATTATTATTATATATATATATATATATAATAATAATAATTTTGTGTTTGAGAGTGACTGAATCTATTAATGTAGGTATTGCTTATATATAAGCTATACCTACATTTATAGGTTCAGTCACTTCATTTCAGATTTATCATATGATGGATTTATGCAATATAGAAGAACAAAATATTGTAAATTTTTATGAATTATTTAAAAACATCTACTAATAAATAGTCCAGTCAACGTTCAAACTTCAATGTTGCATATCATATGCGACATTGAAGTTTAGACGTTGACTGGAGCATATGTCATTTTTAAGCAGTTTCTAGGCATTTTTAAATATGTTTTTTATTTACATGGTTTTACAAGCAAGGTGTGCAAGCAAATTAAAGCTGAAAAATTTTTCTTAGCAAAGGAAAATTAGTGCTGTTCTTTGTTTAATTTAATTTGTTTAAGTATAGTTTTAATAAATGTTTGTTTGTTCTTGGTTTTTTACTTTTTTTTTTCACATTCTTAAGAACTTGCCAACTTAACTAAGCAAGTTTTGTTTATTTTATAGTGCAATCGGAAAGAGCTGAAACCTATTTTTAGTGCAGTTGGAAAGAACTGAATTGTTTTTTAGTCTTTTCACACAGTATAACTGGTACTGAATTTAATAAGTTTATTAATTTTTATTTATTTTATATTAAATTTGTTTTATATTAGATATATTTTAACGTATTTTAGCATGGAAAACTGACTGTAATTTGTTGACACAAAAGTGATCAACAAATTACAGTCAGTAATTTGTCGATCCTTTACTTAAATAATTTTGTACATTGTAGACTAGATTCTTTATTTAAATAAAAATAACTAATGTAAATAAATATGGTTTAATTTTTTTGATAAATGACTTATGTATATAAACATAAAAAGATATGGATTTCAATAAATCTTAAGTTTGAAGTCTTAGTAAATTGTGATCTTTTTTAATCAAGATAGCCTTTGATTAGAAAAGATCACAATTCGTAAGATGATTTTATGTTTATTTATTTAGTTGTAACAATCGTAAGATTACTGGTAATATGTTTAATGATAATAGTGAAAAAAAGTTATTAATGTAAATGCTAATAAGCAAAGAAGTTAATAATGTAAATGCTAATAAGCAACTTGAAAATAGTTGCTGTCAAGTGAAAGAGATTTTGGCATAATGAAATTAATTGTTGTTGAAATGTGAGAAATACTGCTCGGCGAGCAGAAAACTTACTTGCCAGAATTCAGTTTCAAGCAGTGTTAATATCCGTTATTTTGATTTTTCTTTAAATAATTTAGAACAAAGCAAAGTATGAATTTTACTATTTACAGTAACAGTTAATAACAGTTTTAAATTTAAATAATTTTAAAATTTTTTATAATTTCAAACATAATTATGTTCTTCTTTTCTTTTATTTTTAGTTGCCTTTGTCATCACTTGATTTATTTGCTTACTGTTGAAGCTTGGTTTTAATTTTGTAAATTTAATATGATGTAAAATTTACTCTATTAATCATTAGTCAACAGTTAGAGAGAAGCTGGAGTTTATTTAAGAAATGCTGGAAATTAACTTTTAATAAAGGTGAAAATAACTTTGTTCACTGATAACATAATGAAACCAGTTACAACTATTTATTGCGTATTTTTTTACTTTTTTTAACATGCTGCTTTTGAAACACTTTCTTTCTCCCCCTCTCTCTTTTAGAAACACTTTCTTTCTCCCCCTCTCTCTTTTAGATGAGAGGAGGAATTAATAAAACTTAATATAATTAAATACAATTATTGAGCTTTTAGGTATTTCTTAATGACCATTTATAAGAAATATTTAACGAGTTGCTTGCTATTTTACGAAATAATTGTTCATTATGTTTAATATAATTGTCCCTCAATTGTTCAAATATTGTAATAAATAAAATCTTTTTAGTCCAAGTATTTTAGTTGAAAAAATATCTTATTAAGTTGTGGTGTTATTTACCAGTGTTACTCTATTATGTTTTCTAGCCTTTTTATAATTTTCCTTTTTTTTAATTATTTTGGAGACACAGAAATGTGTGCTTACAAATACTTTATGCTATGCGCTATTGTTTTATGTTGATAGACCTAGACTGTTATAGCTCTTTTTTTATTTTTTATATTTTCAGTTATATTATTATCCTAATTCTAGTAAAATGTAAATAATACAGTTATATTATTATCCTAATTCTAATAAAATGTAAATAATACTTTTTTAATCAAAAATTGTAATTTTTTTTTAGTTTCTTTTTTTAGGTATTTGCAGGCTTTACTTTTTCTGGTACCTGTGTTGTGACATGTTTTAAAAAGAACTTAACTGATATTAATGCGGTCTATATATCATTAACTACAATAGTGGAATATTTTGAGTTTTTTATTTGTAAATATTTTTATTTAATGATCTGGAAATAAAAGTATAATGATTAATTAAATTTGTTTATTTGGTGTATTTAATTAAGTTAATTATAAATAATACAATATTTTGTGTGGGCAGTAGTAAATTTATATCAAAGATTTTATATCAAAGTAATATCAATATGTCATATTCTGCTTCTCAAATTTTTTCTGTAATCTTCTCAAATTCAAGAAATGTTTACTTTTCTAAACAATTTTGAGATAATTTGCGGAACGGAATTGAGACTATAAATCATTATCCCCAATACACTGGGGATATATTGGGGATAATGCAAAACCGCGTAACTAAAATTGAATAATACCGCGTATCTATAATACAGTTTTTTTATTGGAGAAGTTTAAACTATTTTTTTATTTCAACAGATTTTGGGTTCATTTTAGAATAAAGAGTATTATTCATGTTTTTGTAACGTCAACAATAAATATTTTGTGTTAAAGTTAAGAACATCCAAATATAGTAGCCAATGCTGGTTCCGCGGATTTGTACTATCCCCGACTATATAGTATTTTGAATAGTATATTGATAGTATTTTGAAAATAGCATTTTGAAATTAATTGCGAATTTATGAACAAAAAAATCTTTTTTTATTTACCAATATTTCAATTACTAACATTATCCAATATACTTTATATAAATACACATTAAGCAACAATAAATTTTCCAAATATATGAGACATGATTGTGTGGCGAAAAAATTAATTATCTCAATACCACAAAAATGGATATACCGCATCTTAATATATATCAAGATGTGGTATATCCATTTTTGTGGTATTGAGATAATTATGCGGTATATATATATATATATATATATATATATATATATATATATATATATATATATATATATATATATATATATATATATATATATATATATTTATATATATATATATATATATATATATATATATATATATATATATATATATAAAGTAACCTTATTAAGACATTTATTCTCACAAGAGATAATTGCTTTGTTGACTTCTAACCAAAAATATTTATATTTATAAATATAAATATTTTTGGTTAATTTAGTTCTTACTAAATTTAGTAAGAAACAACTTTTTTTTTTTCCAGAAAATATTAAAACTCACTGTCTAATTAGCACAAGGGGCCATCCATAAAGTACTACTTTTTATTTCTATTAAAACATTGAATTTCACATGTGTAACAAAACAGCATTGTATTTTTTTCTGACTTTAGTCACAATTTTTTTAAATTTCTTTAATGAGAGAATAATGAAATCGAGCGACAAATAATATTTATTGTTTTTTATTCGTAGCGTAATTTGATTAGTAGCTAGATGAGAAGCAAAAAGACGTCAATTAAAAGCAACCTTTTTTTAAATTCTTTTTTTTAAATTACAGTACTGTACTGTACGCAAACTGTTTTTTATCATTTCTCTTAAAATGTTGAAATATTTTGTGACATTTTAAGATAAGTACATTAGTAACATTTTATGTTTGAATTAAGTACAGAGAAATGTTAAATAAACTAAATGTTTTTTTTTTGTTTTTTATGCTTTGAAATATTTACGCGTTGGAAAAAGGGATCGTCCATAAAGTACGTACGCCAAAAACTCTGAAATTTGACACCCCCTCTCCGCCCTGTTGCCATGCGTACCTTTAAGTCCTCACCCCCTTAAAAAGTTCGTACATTTTTATATACCCCCTCCCCTTCAGTTGAAAAAAAAAAAGGTGGAGGAGATATCTCTTCCCCCTAGATACTTTAAAAGTATCTAGGGTACCTAGTTACTTTCTCTTCCTCCACCTTTTTTATTTCAATAAAATTTTGTATTAAAAAAAAAATAATAATAATAAACGGGGGGTGAAAAACGTATAAAGTATTTATACGACCCCAAAGCCCTTTGTTAGCGCCAAAGGATTCCAATTTAAAAACATCACTAAATATAAACAAATATAAATGTAAATATAACTAAATCTTGCAATAATGAAGAGATCGTTTGGCTGAGTGGATGATGTTATGGACAGTAACAGCGGAGGCTAGAGTTCGATTCCCAGTAAAGTCCTAATTTACTTTTTCTGTTTAATGAGACGCATCAAATAAAAATAAACTATACTCAAGGCAGACGTTTTTTTCAGGCACCCTTCTTTAGTAAGTCCGTAAAAAGCTAGTCACGCAAGAAGTGAAATATTGAAAACAAAGCTTAAAACCCTGTGCCAAGTATAGGCTACCCATACTCCGTAACTAGAGGGGGTGGGGTGTTGTGGGGGAGCAGCAAATTTTATGCCCTTTTGCTATTTTATTTTAGCAAAACCTAGCGGTAAAATTTGGAAGATTTTGAGACTCTAATGACACGTTTTTTTATTTTAAGGGAGGGAAGGGGGGCTCCGACCTATTAGCCATTGCACTGCTAAAACCTGTTTTTTGAACAACAACAACTCAGGAAGAGTGATGGCAATCATTAACTTTGGAATATTGAAGAGCCATTTCCATATGAAAAGAGCTTATAGAGATGGCTAATATGCAAAACCTTGATAAAAACATTTATCACTTCAAGCACAATAGTTATAGTCTTGCCGCTTCCATATAATGCATTAATAGACTTTTTTGTTAAAACGTTTGTTAAGGCTGTAGTAGAACGAGAAGAATAAAATTAATGGTCAAAGATTAAGTTGTTAAACTCGAGATGATTTCTTAATAATAGCAAGAAAACTGAGCAATGTTTAGAGAAGTCAAAACAAGCTCCAGTGTTTTTAAAAAAAAACTAAAACATAGTTAAGCATTAATTTTTGTAAGTATTAAATATTATTATTTGATTTATTATTAGCTTAACTTTTTCAGAAAAGCAATACGTAGTCTTTTTTGAAAAATAAACCAATAAGATATGTGTGCCATGCACTCTAAACTTATCGCTTATAAGCTAAATGCTTGTAGTTGCTTAACTCGTGCTAATCAACTAATACTTGTGACAATCAAAAGGAATACATATATAGCCTAAACAACACACTAACACGAACACCCTACAGAATATTACACTCCATATACCGAATATTTAAATACTGTTGATGAAATCAGTATTTTTGAGAGCTACTACAAAGTTCTTTAACCTTACTGCTAGCGGCCTCCGAAATATTACATTAAGTTTTAAAGTCGCACACATTAAAAATGCAGTAAAACTGCATAGCGACTATCAAGGAAACACAAACAAAAACTGGGTTGGCTTTGGCCTAAAATGTGCAATCGGTATCTGTGCTAATTATAATACAATCCTCAGTTATATATGAAAACTTGGTTTTCAACTTTAAATCCACATCTGTTTACTCTGGCCAAATAAAAGACGTAAGAAAGAAAAAAGGCTTGAACTTCTTGGTAAAATACACCTTTACGATGCTCTATTGTAAAACTGTAGTTTTACTTACAGTGCCATGGTATCTATTAAATAAAATTTAACTGCTAAGATTTTATTAATTTTTTAGTTATATTTATATTTATATTATTGTTATTATTATAACTATTATTGTTATTGTCATTCTTTATGTTGTTGTTATAGCTCTAACAATACTCTGTTGTTTTATTTCATTATCATTTTGGTTTAAAGTATTTTTTGAAATACCCGTAGTTTTTGCACTACCAGTTAGTGCCATGGCTATTGGGTCCGAGGCCTTCCCCACCCCCTTTCCCCCAAAAAAACAACAAACTGTAATAAGGGCGCCGAAATCTTATAACAGTTTCAATTAGGTATTACTAAAAAAAAAAAGCTCTTTACATTTGCATATGGGCCTGCAAAATTTCTACTTTTTTTTTTATTACAATCTTTCAAATGAATTTTCAAATATTTGTTATGAAGATAAGCAATTTGCAAAATCTTCAGGCTAAAAATAAATATATGAATGTCTATTATTTGTTATAAAGTTTTACTTTTGTTTATACTTGTGCCCAGTATAGAGGCACTTGAAATAATAAACTGTCAAGGTTTGCATTGATGTTTTTTATAAAATAAGCTTTCGTGGAAACACTGTGTTTTTTCTGGTTTATTAACTTTTCAAAAAATATATATATTAGCCACTTCTAAATAGAACCATTCGATTCATTTTTCTTTCGTAAAATAAAGAATTACTGGTATTTCGCTTTGAGACTTAAAAAAATAATTATTTCACGGTGTACAAAATAATTAGACTAATTGGAAGCAAATCTCGGTCGTGTGTGACCATCCTGGTTTAAAGTTGTAGTAAGCTTCAAAAGATACAATGATGTTATACGATTATCAATAAAACAAATAATATTGTAATGTTGTAACTTGCTGTAATGTGTAAAAATAATAATAACAATAATATTGATGTTAATAACAATAATAAAAATAATAATAATGACAATAATAATAATAATAAAAATAATAATAATAACAATAACAATAATAATAATATCAATAATTGCCCTATTTCGATTTTGCCTGTTTTTTCTAAAATTTTAGAAAGAATTTTATATAATATAATTTTCAATCATTTATCTTCAAATAATATACTGTATCAATATCAATACGGATTTTAAAAAAGTAATTTAACCGAACACGCTATACTCCAAACTACCCGCAATATTGCTGAATCTTTTGAAAAATCTCAATATACGTTAGGCGTTTTCATAGATTTATCGAAAGCCTTTGATACCATCGACCACAAAATCCTATTTAAAAAAATAGAGTATTATGGAATTAAAGGGAATATTTTAATGATTCTTAAAAGTTATTTAAGCAACCGTAAACAGTTTGTTTACAGTAATACAACTGCCTCTTCCAATTTATTAGATATAACATGTGGGGTCCCTCAAGGTTCTATACTAGGACCTCTTCTCTTTTTAATTTACATTAATGATCTCCCTAAAGCCTCAAATTTAATGACGGTCATGTTTGCCGACGATACAAATCTTTTTTTAGCTCATAACAACATAACAACATTATTCCAAAATATGAATATTGAATTAACAAAAGTTTCTGACTGGTTTAAAGTGAATAAGCTGTCATTAAATGTTGAAAAAACTAAATGGATTCTTTTTCATCAAACTTCAAAAAAAAAGCTACTACCTCCTGTGATGCCCTTACTTTTTATTGACAAAGTTCAAATAAAAAGAGAACAAACTACTAACTTTTTAGGAATAAATATTGATGAAAACCTTAGTTGGAAGTATCATATTGATTTATTGTGCAACAAAGTTGCTCGAAATATAGGAGTAATGTACAAGGCTAGAAATGCTTTAAATAAACACAGTTTAACACAATTACATTTCTCTTTAATCCTTTGCCATATAAATTATGCAAATATTGCTTGGGGTAATACCAATAAATCTAAACTGCTACCTCTTTATCGTCAGCAGAAGCATGTTGCTCGGCTTATCAATTATAAAGATCGATTTGCTCATGCCAAACCATTATTATTTCAAATGAAAATTCTTAATATTTATCAGCTAAATATTTCTAATATACTTTGTTTTATGTTCAAGTGTAAAACCAACGAATCTCCAGTTTCTTTTCATAATCTATATACCTTAAAAGATAAAAATAAATATAACTTAAGAAATGATAATCAAATTCAGCAACCTTTATCTTTAACTAATTTTGGAAAGTCATGTATTTCATATCGAGGAGCTTTTCTATGGAACAAAATAGTTTTAAAAAATTTTGATTTTTCCCATGAATGGAATTATCTTTCATTCAAGAAAAAACTAAAAGAAATTGTTTTGTCTTTTGAAGACATTTTTTTATATTTTTAAATTCTTTTAAAAATGAATATGAAGTTTATTACATAAGGTAATATATAAATATTATATCTGATCCATAACTTATGTGTTTGTGAAAACAGTACTTTTTAAAATATTTTTGTATTTATATATAAGAGTATCAACAATTTCTTTATTCCAATTTTATTTATATATTATTACGAAATTTACGTTCTCGCTAATTTTTAATACGACATTGTTTTGATTTTATACTTCATGTTAATTTAATGTACTTAATATTCACGAGCGGTTCTCGATGATAAGACCTGAAGGTCTTCTGCGAGTCTCCGCGTTCTTTCTTTTTTGTATATATTTTCTTTTATTGTATAACGATTTTTATCTCAACTATCTTGTTGTATAACTATATTGAATATTCAAAAAAAGAACAAAAAAAAAAAAAAAAAAAAAAAATTGTTGCCAAAATAAAGAAAACTTCAAAATAAATAAAAATTTTGTACAATTGTTGAACAACATCCAAAGAGGTATTGCTCAACAATTGATGATCAAGAAACTTAAAAAAATATCAAATCCCATTTATTAAGTTTCAGATTAATTCTTTACGTATAATAAATTTTTAAGTATAATAAAAAATTTTTTATTATGCTTAAAATTAAAACTTGATAAATAATAAGAGTCGTCATAAAAACATCGTTAAAACTTTTTTCCGTTAAGAAAGTTATTAAGGTGATTCAATAAGATCTAGCGATCATTTAACAAAGTACCACGGAAAATATTTTACGACGCTTTTCTTAATGCTTAAATAGCCAAATACATCGACCGCTGTGCCATAATTAAAGGCAGCGCTTTAATCAATGCGCTCTAACCACCTTCCTCACCAAAGCATCTGAGAGACACACTACAGTCGAGGAAGCAACTAACATTTGATAAAAAGAATTTTTTTTTTGCAAATTTCTTACATCTCTAAAATTTAACAACTAAACCCTCAACACCAACTTTTAACAAGGATGCTGCGCAAGAGTGCGGTACTTCTCGAGGCATTAAGTAAATTTGAACCTGGAACTTCTCGACTAGTCTGCTACCCCGTTAATATATGTAATCAAAAATAAAGTTATTATATTTTAGTAAATATATAGCAGTTTAGAGTAGATTATCAACCAACCAAATCAACTAATCAAAGCAACCATTCCAATCAAACAATCAAATCAACCAATCGACTCAACCAATCAAATCAAAGTGTTTTTGTCAAGCCAAAAATAAAAGTTAAATATATATGGAAAAAACTAAAGGATTCATAAATAATTAATAAGCTTGTACGCCACCTAATCCCTTACCACTTATCCTGAGATAAGTCTTGCATAACAATCTATATCACCACTGTCCAAACGCTTATTAAATTAGCTGTCCATACAAGTCTAACAAATATCCTTAATTTATTAAGATAAAATTATGATGTGAATAGTATTACTCAGTTGGAATTGTTTTTTAAAGTGTTTTTTAACCACGAAATAAAACTAAAATAAAATAAGTATAAATGAAGACATAAAATAAATTTTGTTATAATTTATTTCAATGTATTGTATTTTTAAAAACAATTTTTTTTTTATTGTTGTTTTTACATAAAAAAATTCTATTGTGTCGACACAAAATTGACCAACCACATAATAATGATCTCTAATTAATTTGTATTGGTCATAAAATAATTGAGTTATGAAAAAATATTTTGAGACCAAACGTCTATAAAGACTTTCATATTGTTAACAGTAGCATTATAAAATAGAATGGATCAATAAGTATTTCTAGTTTTCTTACTCTAAATATACTATCTCTTGATTGCATATTTAGAGTGATGCCTCTAAAATAGTAAAGCTCTCATGTTACTTCTTGAAATACGCGATGTTTCTATATTTATATACTAAAAGTTTACTTAGAAACATTGCATTGATCTATACCAAACTAACTAAAAATTAAAAGAAACAAAGTAGGTTAAAAATAAATTACATCTATAATATATATGTATATATATACAAACTAAATATACTTAATAGAGAAAAAACCTTTGCTATCATGCTTATATACTTAAGCTATTTTCTTTTAGGTGAAATCTATGTTTGGTAAAGCGTTGTATGATTCGCGAAGAGGAGTTTTTTTATTAAAACGCATAAAATGCGTTTCAGCAAGTTTGTTCTTAGTCAATTCTATGTGCCATGACGTTGTTTATATGACTGATCAATTACTTGTTTCATCATATTTATTTCTTCTTGTAGCTGTTGCTGGTTTCTCAACATTATTTGTATTGTTTGTTTTAAAGATGTGTTTTCGTTTTGCAGAAGCTTCATGCAATGAAATGTTTGTAATTCTTTTAAACGCCTTTCTTCGCGGGATCGTCTGGCTGCTTGATTATTTCTTTTCCTTCTTTCCCAATAGTCGATTGTTTTTTTTTCATCTGGAACTAAGTTGCGTCGTTTTTTCCTACCAAGAGGTCGTGGATCGTACTTATAAGAACCATCATTATCTTGTCCTAACATTATACTTGGTATGTGAACTACAGGTTCATTTATAGATATATTTTTATTACACGATGAATTCATTTGTATTCTAATAGATTCAGGGCTTGATGGCGGTGAATAAAGCGTTCCGTAAGAGCTTGCTGGTGACTCGGCACCATCGCAGTTATTTGAAGTTAGTTGTAATGGTTTGTGTCCAAGCAACGAATTAGTACATAAAAAATGCATGTCTGTATTTTTCGTGTTTTGATCTAAAACTATTTGATCTGATTTATGTTCATCCATAAGTATTTTTAAGAAATCGTCAATTTCATCCTCCATGCCACCCATTCTTCCTTGGCCGTTCATCCAGTTATTTTCTTCTTCTGGACTCATAATTTAATGTAATCATAAAAATATTTATTAACTTGCTGCAGACGTTTTAAAACTCAGCTTACCACTGGATAGATTTTCTGAAATGGCAGCTATTTATTCATTGGCGGAAACGCAGCTTTTTTTATAAATGAAACAATTATCTTTATGACACACACAATAATTGTTTATAAGGTCGTGAACATACTTTGCATAGCGACCATCACAAGCATCATTAAACAGAATGCTATTCGATGGAAAACAGTTATTAGTATATAAACAGATAACAGAATCAATGATAAAAAATAAATTTCCGCTTTCTGATGATTAGTTGTTACTAATGATTGTTTATTAATAATTGATTTTGTTGAAGACTTTATAAAAAATACTATTTTTTTTTTAAGTTTTAAACCAGTTAAACTGCACACTTAGCACTCAAAGTTTTATTAGCTAACCTACTTCCACAAATGAAAGTCTTAAAATTTTTTTATACATTGAGCGAAAAATAACTTTACCACTTTAGAATACTATGTCAATTTTACAAAATAAGAAAATACCCGATTTCAAATAACTTTTTTTTTTAATGCATTATATCAGTTATTAATCTAAAAACCATTGTCCATAGCCATAACTTGCCACGGGTTTTTCTTTTATCGTATTGCGCCTTTTAACGCCGCCATTAAATTTTTTTTTTTTTTTTTTTTTTAAAAAAAACTTTATTGCTTTTTCATACTAATTTGAAAAATTTAATTTTTAAAATTTGATGCTAAAGTTTTAATGCAACAAAATTTTTACATTAGGAAACCTAAAACTTTTATTTGACATAAAAAAGAGTATCAATTCAAGACAAAAAAAAGTATCAAAATTGTATTTTAAAAAACTCTATAATGACGCTCAATACCTTATCAGTTTTAATATAATAAGATTACTTTGAGGTTTTTAATATTTAAAGTCAGTTCCGGCTCGTATCCGTATAAAAAATTTTTTTATCTACAAACCTTTAGACGTAAACAGACGCGTTATTAGTTAAAATAACAAAGATTTTTTTTTAATTTACGCGTCAAAAAGTTTAAATTTTGAAAATACTAATTTTTTTCAACTACGGCTTCACGTTAACTTTGTGCTTTTTAGTTATTATTTGTTTTATTTAAGTTAACTTTTTTTTTTTTTATCAACGACAGAATTTAATCTTTTAAGAACAATATTTTAAGTACATTTTTTGTTATTTTTTAAATATTTAATTATATGCAATAGACTTTTTTTTAAATAATCATTCAAAAAAATGTTTTCCAAAGAGCATATATATATATATATATATATATATATATATATATATATATATATATATATATATATATATATATATATATATATATATATATATATATATATATATATATATATATATATATATATATATATATATATATATTTAAACTAATTTCTAGATGCTGTTAATAAAGCGCAAAAATAACAACATTTTAACAAATCAATTTACTTAAAGATACTTTAATAAAAATTGAAATCTGTTGATAAAAATTGAAGTGAATTTAAAGTTTAGAATATTTTCAAAGATTTTAAGGCTAGTTTTCGTTTATGGAAAAGTTATTTTCGGAGAAGATAATCTTTTAGGTTAATTTGTTTAATGGGAGTTCATTTTTAAAGATTCTTTTTTAATACTTAGTTTAATTGCTTGGCTTAAGCGTGACTTGAAAACATTAACTATAAATAACATAATTATTTTAAAATAAAAAATTAAAATACACCCATATACCTAACGCTCACCCGTAAAAAAGACTTTGCACATAAATAAGAAAAAAAGAATATAAATTAAAAGTTTGAAGTAATAGACAATGCTTTACACATTCATTTGCTTTGACAAAATTACAGAATCGGCAACCTCTACATCATTTAGGAAATGTCTTCTTGATTAGAGATTCCAAGAGATTTAAAGAAAAAATTTGATAGGAAAGATTTTTAACAATTATTTAAATTATCAAAAACTACCCAGTGGGCATGGGACTTAAAAAAGACGTCTTTTAAACGTCTATTGAACGTTTTGGACGTCTAATGAACGTTCAAAAAAGGTCTTTTTTAGCTCCTTTGTCCTCTAGGTAAATACCACAAATATCCTGATTAAGGTAAAGCAGTTGTTCCTTTCATACTTCGTTGATAAGCATAAATACCAATGTTTTAGACTCTACTTCCTGTTTCAACCTTTACCATTGCTTCTATCTTTAACTATGACCACGTGTAGTTTGGATTTAAACATAAAACGTCTTGATTGTTCCAGATAATATTTTTTTATTTTCTTTCTGCCGATAAAAAGATCCAAAATTACAAATTACAAAATTACAAATGTAATTAAGGTAAAAAATTATTTACAAAAAGATATCAAAGGTTTTATAGTAAATACAAACGTTATTGAATAAATATTTTCGAAAGACTGAAAAACTTCATAAAAGTTATTAGTTTTAAAAAAACGCAATTAAACAAAAAAATAGTTTTTTTGTTTAATTGCAATTCTTATTAACGCATTATAAGGCGTTTTGAAAAATAGCTGCAGCATAAGAAAAATAAAAAAAGAACTTTTATTATTTGTTATAAAAGCAATCAAAACGTCACACACTTATATAGAAATCCCCGTGAGTGTTTTAGACGTATAAAATACATATTATGACGTTTTACTACGTGTTTTAGACATCTTAAACACGTGTTTAGCGCACTAGGATCAAAACCATATCGAAACGTCAAAAACGTATTAAAACAACAAAAGTTTTCAGCAATAACAAGAGTTTAAAAACAGCAATAATAAAATGCTGTTTTTACTAATTTAATGTAGAAAGTTAAATCATTATATCATTACATTAAATCATAAATTCTTGTCATTTTGAGAGATTATGCTGCAGATACTTCAAGTATATTTATTTGTGAAAATCATAAAACTATCTAAAATTATAAATCATGAATATTTTGTTGTGAATTTCCATCTATGATTATTTTCATCTGTGTATTTTATAAGTCTCATTCCTAACCAAAAGGAAAAACAGCAAAATTATTACTACATGTAACTGCAAAACCTGATAAAATTCTTTTGAATTTGTATAAAATGTGAGCTTATCGATAATCTTATAAAAGCTTATCTTATAAAATGTGAGCCTATCGAAAAATTGAACTGTGAAAAAACCTTATTTGCAGTCTTTTACAATCAACATATTTTACAGTTAATAATGGTTAAAAACTCAATATGAAGATTATACTTTTGCCATTCTAGAGTTTATTAATTGTTAAAATGAAAATATTAAATATTACTTACAAGCACTTACAATTTTTAGAAATCAACATTCCATTTAAATAGATCTTTGAAAATTATAAAATTAAAAAAATGACTTTAATAATAATAATAATATAAAAACAAAAAATTAAATAAGACCCTGTCTTTGTTATATTTATTTGTTTACTATGTTTTTACAAAACATTGTAAAGTTTAATTTAAATAAACAAATACATAAATAAATAAAACATAAATATATATATATATATATATATATATATATATATATATATATATATATATATATATATATATATATATGTATGTATATATATATATATATATATATATATATATATATATATATATATATATATATATATATATATATATATATATATATATATATATATGTATGTATATATATATATATATATATATATATATATATATATATATATATATACATATATATATATATATATATATATATATATATATATATATATATATATATATATATATATATATATATATATATATATATATATATATATATATATATATATATATATATATATATATATATATATATATATATATATATATATATATATATATATATATATATATATATATATATATATATATATATATATATATATATATATATATGTAGGCGGGGGTTGGAGTGTCGAAATAATTTTGTATTAATTTTGCGTCTCCTAAAAAACAAAAGGTTCCCTATTTTTAAGATATTTTAAGAATTTCAGATTCTGGTGGGGGGTGGGGGATGCACCTCCCTCATCCTGGATCCGTCACTGATATATTATCATTTATTAAGGTATTAGTAAACATGTTTTAACATTTGTTGGTAGTAAAATACATTCCTCTAAACTTTTGTCTTTTGAACACTTTTTTAATAAAGAAGTCTTTACAGTACTATTTAAGATAAAAGAATTTTTCTTTGTTTGTGTGGAGTTTGAAGCGTACATGTTACAATTTTTTTTTTCTTCCGCCTCCCCAAGTCCGAGAAGGCCTCTGCAGACAAGGAGGAACTACTTAATTATGGTTATAACTCTCTCTTAGCTCTATCACTCTTAAAAACACGAACCTTAACAAACAAGGCCGTTGCGCAGAGAAACAAGTTGAGCGTGGTGCTACCAACAAAAATGGCGGGGATGAAGCGTATGAAGCGATCGCTCTACCACTACACCACTACCGCATTTTATGAAAATGTATGCCGCAAGTATGAAAATATTTTTAATTTATAATGAATTATATTTGAATTGTTTCAAGTGATTTATTAAGAATTGTTTGTTTTGATTTAATTTTTATTACTTTTAATTTTTTTAAAATAATTTAAGTTGTACTTTTGTAGAGCAGCGTAGAGATAATGAGCTCGTCACATTCAATGTTATTTAAAACCCGAGAAAAAAGTTATTTTAAATACTGAAACTTTTTTTTATTAACACTAAAATTTATCTACCGAGTTATCGTCACTCAAGATACACACTCAAGTTCATTTTTGATATCATTTATTTTAAAAATTTGTTTTTTGTTTATACAGATGTATAAAGTTTTTACATCATATAAATTCAAAACTTTTTACATAATAAAAAATTTTAATATTTTACAAGTAATAATAAGTTTTTCCCGACTAATCCATTTAATGATATACTTTCAATTTTTTAATAATATACTTCGTTTCAGTTTTTTGAATCATCAATTGTTAGCTGTATTTAATGATCGACATTGAAGGTATGTTATCTGGTTTCCGAAATTTATTAAATACATCCTACGTAAAATCTTTACCCTCTATAACAATCTTTCTTGCATTATTTTATATAAAGCATTCTATATTTACAGAATAATGCTGTTTCTATAGCAGCAATTTAAAACATCTCAATTGAAGTAAAACTGCTTCAA